TCTCCAGCAAGATACCGGACGTCGAGGAGTTCGAGAACTTGATCTCGGTTGTCTTCAGAAGAAATCTCTTTGCACTGCAGTGAAATTCGATCGACTTTCGAGAGTTACGGGTTATTTGAATTAGGTAGAAGTAGTGACGACACGCTGTAACTTTATTTCAAATATCGCAAATATCAGGGATCAGAGGTTATTTTGATTTTACAATGAAGTTCAAGCTGTAATCTCCGAAATTATTAGCAAGACATTCGGTTGTGAGAAATCTCTGCAACAGTGCAATTCAATCGAGTTGCTTTTTCAAGATCATTACTTTACAAACGGATTTCATGTTGTAATCTGCGCAATTCTGCGAAACGTTCGCTCGCAACAAGACGGAACTATCAGTGAGATATTCGTCGAGGAGTTCGAGAACTTGATCTCGGTTTAACAAGAGTGAAATCGAGTTGCTTTTTACAGATTATTTGAATGGTAAAAGTAGTGACGTTGCAGTCGATCGAATTTCACGCAAATGTCAGGAATCAGAGATTATTTTTTTCTTATTTTACAGACAAAGTTCGCAAGTTGTAATCTGCACAATCCTGCGAAACGTTCACGGGACCAAACTATTCGGGCGTTTAATTTTGGCAAGCGTTTCTAAATCCGTGTTTATGAATTTCCGTGAACTTTGAATTATTTCCTGCATACTTTGCATTCATCACCCGCGCGTTGTGTTTTAATAGAAATACCATTGCGACGTGCTTGGTCCCCATGTGTGTCGCACGTTGCATTATTAATTTTAACTCGAGAACTTTTAAACGAGCCCCCCCCCCTCCCCCTCACTCCCCTGCCTCATACAACCGACAAGTCTCTCAAATTTAACACTCTCGAATTACCAACAATTGCAAAATGCCGGGCACGTTAAAAAAATTTTGAAAGTTGTCCCGCGATGGGGAATTGAGTCACGAGACGAGATGCAATTTGGAAGTGTCATCCTCTCTCTCTGGCTTGTTCTCTCGAGAACCAGTCGGTAAAGCAGTACCGTTATACGATAACACGTTTGTAAACAATCTAAGCGGCTGCAGAGGTGTTTTACTTTACCCACAGTCCGCGAATTCCCGTTTTCAGTCGCGCGTCCTGAAATAGTTTGCCAGACAAGGGACGACGGGACGAGAGTTTCTGCGAGTTTCGTCCCGGGGATCCTCCGCTCCGTCATTTTAATATCTCCGCTCGAAGATCGGCCGTTGCTTTTTGCACTGCCGTGAACTCGCCCGTGAACACCATGGGATGTCGAATATCATTTTTGTCCATCTGTCCCTTCCTCGTCACGTTCTCTTCCGAACTTCTTGCTCGGTGACTTTTTTCTTGCCTTCTCCTTCTTCGATAATTCGTACAAATTGAAAAAGATAATTGTCCCCGA